ACATGAAAGCAACTCAAAAACATAAAATTCGCGCAGAATTTACTCCCAAACAACTTTATCAGAAAAAAAAAAAAAAAAAAATCCAATAAAAATATTATATTTATATAAAAATGAAAATGAATATACCAAGATCTTAAACAGTGACATAAGAATACGATGAAAAATTGTTGCAAACCCATATTTCAAAAGAATGAAACTATTCAAAATGATGCGATTTCATCAAAAATCTATCAACAACAATAAGACGGAAAATGTTGCCAATCACATTTTTAAAGATGTGAGATGTGAGAAGTGTACTCGGAAGCTTCATTAAAAAATCTTTTAAAATACAAATATTATCATTTTTTCCAAAATTCTTTTTGTAAAAGCATTCACAAGGTGAAAGTTTAACGTGTCCAAAAATCAAAGAAAATAAATGTAATATTTAAAATAAACTTTTTTAGAAAAATCCCATTGAAAAAGTGTTAAGCTCCCTTTGTTAAATAAATTCGTATTAATCGATTATTGAACACGAAATTATTTTAAGTTCGTAATAGCTAAGTGCCTACGTTTCATGACGATGTAAAATGGAGTGTGTAGGTAAAATCTCGCTTTCCTATAGCCCATTAGGTTTCAAATGACACGATTTCGTCACAAACATGAAATAAAAAAATTCGAATTCGAATTTCGAAAAATCGCTTCGAGGTGCACTGGCTCTGTGTAGATGTACTATGTCCATTTCGTAGCCGTGGTCTATTAGCTTACGCGCAGCGCGAACGAAAGGCACACACACAGACAGATCTTCTTTTATTATGTAGAAAGATATGTGAGATAAAATTGTTTAAGGGAAGGAAACTTTAGTTTCGCAGCTGTACCCTGACCCTTAAGACGGTCTCCCAGAGTCTACCTTTTGCAATTCTCTTGAGAGCTCACATCTACCGAACAATATCTAGTGTAATCAATCTCACTTACGGAATCATTGAAATAAAATTCTGGGAGGGATGGGAAATAACAAAAGAACTGCTTGACAATTTTCAGAGGTTTAGGTATTTTCGCGACTTTACGGGAAGTTCGAAAATCGCGTTTTAAGGATTCGCAAAAAATCACTCGGCAGCTAGGGTTATATTCCCTATTTGTACTAAGTAAAATTCTTCCTAGTTAATTTTGAATTCCCAACCGTTTTTTTAAAATGCGTTTTGAACGATTTAACGCCCTCCTCCCAAAGCCCACCAAAATGAGGTGCTCTAGGAGGTATAAATTTCCACTCAATCTCCTCTGACAACAAAAAGTCGGATAATCCTTGTTCTGGTACTTTGGCTAATTTAAACAGTTTGCTTAATTCATTTCTAGCTCCACGAAAGTTTGTAGCATTATCGAAAAATATGGTTGAGCTTTTCCCTCTCCTAGCGAAAAATCTCTTTAGGGTAGCAATTAATGCTTCCGAAGATAAGTCTAAGACAATTTCTAAGTGAATTGCTTTTGTAGCAAGGCACACAAATACTGCAACATACATTTTTTGAAAAACTCCTTTTCTTTGATTTTTTGCCTTTATAAGAAACGGACCACAAAAATCGAGTCACATTTGTTAAAGGTTGATTCAACTGTCACTCGTTCAGCAGGCAGATCACCCATTATCTGATCTATTGGTACAGGTCTGTGTTTGAAACACTGTACGCATTCATGTACTATTTTCTAGCAAGATTCCTGCCGCTGATGGGCCAAAACTTTTTGTCTAACAGTACTCAATAGAGCTTCTGGTCCAAGATGCAAATATTTTAGATGATAATAGTACATGATCAAATAAGTCAACCTATGTCTAGCTGGCAAAATGATTGGATATTTACAATCATAACTTACCTAAGATTGCGGAAGTCTGCTACCGACACGTAAGATTCCATCATTATCGATGAATGGATTTAACGATTTAAGCTTGCTCCTACGAGGTACCTGGCTATCCCTCTTTAAGTGACTCAATATCAGAATAAAACTCACCTTTCTGCACTTCCTCGAATCAATGTTAACTCGGCCCTTTCCCTTTCCGTTCCTCTAAGGATATAGGCCCTGAAACCCTTTCCTTATTCCTAATGATTCTGAAGAACCTAAAAATAAAACTACAAATTTTGATTAATTTCATATAATTATTTGTTCGATTTAAGAGAGAGGTTAAACTAGAATTATTTTCTAATATTGCAAAATTAGAGTCTGATAAACATTTTAGTTCCTTGACATAGTCATTATCAGTGCTAGGTTCAAGAGGTTGTTCTGGATAATGCATGTCCTCACGGAGAAGGTCTGGTCCATTCCATCAGATATCACACGTAAGAATGTCGTTTGCATCCAGTCCATGCGATATGACATCAGCTGGGTTACATTCAGATGGCACATATTTCCATTGATATGACCCCGTAAGCTCTTGTATTAAAGCAACTCTGTTGCTCACGAAAGTTTTTAGTAAGTATGATGATTTTCTAATCCAAGCAAGAGAAATCGTAGAATCAGACCAAAGAATTACTTTTTCTACTTAAACATTCAACGAAGATATCACTTTATCCATCAATCTGGATAATAGAAGGCAACCTGACAGTTCCAATCTAGGAATTGATAAGGTTTTTATAGGTGCAACTCATGACTTGCTACACAAAAGTCGAACGGTTGGCAATCCCTGAAACTGGTAAAGCTTGAACATAGATTGCAGCTCCGTATGCCGAAGATGGACACATCTGCAAATCCATGGAGCACTATGTGATCTTCCTGGAATACACAAATCTAGGAATCTTAAGATTACTTAGTTGTGGTCAGAGAGCGTGGATACGAATTAATTAATCCACTCCTTGGCCATAGAATCTGGCAATGTGTCATTCCAATCGAGTTTAGCAAGCCAGAGCCTTTGCATGAATATTTTGGCCTTTGTGACCACTGGCCCAATTAAACCAAGTGGATCGAACATTTTCGAAATTAGTGACAGAACATCTCGTTTACTATAACTGTTAGAGTGAGGAATGGTCATTGTAAACAAAAAACAGTCAATCTGAGGATTCCATAGGACACCAAGAGTTTTAACGGACTAAGATTCTTTTGCTCTTCAAAAGTGTATTCTGAATGAGTGGTAACCTTATTTTCAGACATACGAGCAGATCTGGATGATTTGCACGCCATTTATGCAATTCCATTTTTTCCTAATTTCAACAAATCTATTAATTGGGATTGTAGAATTCTAGCCTTTTCGAGTGATGATTCTCCGGAAAGTATGTCGTCGACATAGAAGTCAGTAAGAGCGACGGACGATGCTAGAGGTAAGTTTTGGCTTTCATCTATAGCTAACTGTTTTAAGAGCTCGAGCTTGCTAGATAGGGAGCGTTTGACGTCCCATACGTTACTGTGTTGAGCTTATAAGTTTGCACTGGTGCATCAACACTGTCTTTCCATAGAATTCTGAGCAAGTGTCTTTGTGGAGGATGGACTAGAATCTGTCGATACATTTTTTGTACATCTGCTGTGAAGGCGTAGCGATGTTTTCTAAATCTAACCATTATAGAAAATAATTCCTGCTGTGGAATTCTTTCCTCTTCAACAAAATATCGTTTAATGACAATCCCGATGTCGTGGCAGTCGAGGCATTAAAAACCACTCTTTAAACGTGTACTACTTTTTGTCTGGTCTGTAAACCCCATGGTGAGGCAGGTATAGTACGAATCAGTTTATGGATTCAGATCCCTCAGCTAGTTCCATATGTTTTAAATCCTTGTATTCTTGCATGAATTCTGAGTACAATCGTTGTAAATTCGAGTCCCGACCCAATCGCTGCCAAACCTGATTAAGTCTTTTCTCTGCTAAATTTCTAGACTCGCCAACAATTCAGAGTCCTTCATGGGCATGCATACGACGTACTGACCTTCCGAGGTTCGATAATGAGTTTTATTAAAATGTTTTTCGCAATATTTCTCTTCAGGACTAAGTGCTGAATCCGGTAAATTAATATTTTCTACCTCCCAGAATTTTTGCAATGTTTCTTCAATTTTTTCATTTAGCGTAAGCAGACCACAGTATTGTGATTCAAGTGGTGAATTATGCACAATACCACTAACTACGAATCCAAAAACCGTTTCCTGGAAAAATAAGTCTTGTGTCGCGCTGCGAACTTGACCCGATTTTAATAAGTCAAAGAAGCATTCTGCACCCAATAATAAATCAATTTCCTCAGGTGTGTTACATCTGTAATCAGCTAAGGAAATATCCCTGGGGATGTCAATATTTTCAATAGGTATGTGGGTAAGGGGAGACATTTCTGTAAATAAAAAAATCAAGTTCTCTAGAGAATGTTTTTTCCTTATTGGCAATTGAAGTCCTCAATTTATAATTTAAAGTAACATCAGTTCCATTTAATCCTGAAATCGGAGCGAAAGCCTTTGTTTATTTTAATCCCTAATTGTTTTTCAAAATGATCAGACACGCAGTTAATCTGTCAAGCAGTTAGCTGTCAAGAGAAGCCTTTCCTTTGATGAATGTTCCCTTCGAAGTTTTCATCAAAACAATCGCAGATGGCAAGATAACACTTTTATTTGTAGCTAATAAACAATTTGAAAGACTCGTCGCCTTCTCCATTAGGCGCCGGAGAAATATCCTTCCCGCCAGCTGTCTTCTGCTCTATCGTCTGCGGATGTTTATTTGAAACAGAATCCGAATTCGATGACTCATCCTTATGAAGCAATGTTGTGATGTTTTGACTGGCAAATATTGCAAAAATGATTCGATCTACATTGCGACGCGATCTGCTTTTTTCCCAAACAGTTTAGACATAAGTTATTTCGTTTTACTAGCGTAAATCTTTCGCAAAAATTCATATCAAGGAATTTACTACATTTAAAAAGGGAATGTGGCGAATTATATCTAACACAGTTTCTTTCCGAATTATTTGAATGAACAAGAAGGTTTTTTTGGTTTTATTTCATTCGTTTGTTTTGATTTTATTGTGTTTTTTTGGATATTTTCCAAAGTTCGACTTCTTTTTTCTAAGAATGTCATCAAGTTATCGAAATTAGGAACATCTGAAGCGTGTACCGATAATTCGAATTTCGAGTTTCCTTGTCTATTTTGTCTAAAATGACAGTAGTAATTAAAATATCTGAGAATTTGCTTCGTTCGAAACCCAAATTATTTAAAGCTGTAATGGTTTTATTCATAGCATCTACTAGACGCCTTAATTCTTTCGATGATTCATGAATAATTTTTTCGAATTCTAAAATAGCTTTAATGTCAGTATTAACAAGAATTCTCTTGTTTTCGAAGCGATTTTCTAAAGCCGTAAATAGTGATTCAAAAGTATCTTCCTGGGTTTGCAACAATTTTGCTTCTCCCTTAAGAGCGGCATGCAGATAATGTAGCTTTTGTGCATCTGTTAATTGAGTATTCGAGGTAACAATATTATTAAATTCCATTTTAAACATGCTCCATTCTTCATACTTTCCGCTAAATCGTGGAAGTGGAATTTCAGGTAACTTTATTTTACAACTACTCTTTGCGATATCAACCTTATTAATATTAGCAACATTATCAATTAATATTTGATTGAAACTTACCTCTAGATCGTCGATTCTTGCTTCTAGATCTAATAATTCCTCTTCTAATTCAGAAGTATCATCCTTTTCAGGCACAGCAATATAATATTCTGATCGAAGTGCATCCAAAGCAATAGACATCTTTCCCAAGGCCTTGAGCTTGGCATCTATTTTGATTTTAGTCATGTGCTGGTACTATCCGCTATGACAGTCTCTATTCTAGTTAGTTGGGCTTTCAGTGAGCCCTTCTTTCGATTTAAAGCAACTATAGTGGCCATTCTATACTAATACGAACTTAGTTAACAAACAAACAAAAAAAAAAAAACAACTCCGCGAGCGGACCATAAATTTTGTTTGGTATAAAATGCTATGAGTTACGAGAGATAATTGGCGCTGGTTCCAAAATAAAACTAACTAAGTTAGGCCACACAAATATTTAATTATTTTCATAATGTACAAGGTTACAAGTTAAGTGCTCCATTAGCACAGACAAAGTGGAACGAACGAACGCACCATAGGTCCGCTGCGTACCTTCTTCAACAACCAACTCCACTAAATTTTGCTCCTCTCACAAGAGAGCGCTATATTAAACCGAACAGTTAGTTACCTCTATAAAAATTGCTTAGTTAATGATCAAATTATTTTCTTTCACATTTGTTAATCTGATATTGTTTTAGTGAAAATTATACATTGTTTTGTTTTCGTTTATTCTTAAAGTGTCGTTAACATTTTCATGTATAGCGTGCAATCAATTTTTTAGATGCCGATTAGTTAGTTATGACGAAAGTCAGTTATATAATATGTCAGTATGGGATTTCAAAAACGCATATGTGCGATTTTGGTCATATATCGTCATGCGATGATTTGTAGGTACTTTATTTTTTACCACGATATTTTCGACGACGATGTTTTTAAACTGCAAAGTTTTTGAACCGCTTTATTTTCGACCACGTTATTTTGTACCACGTTTTTAGAACTGCGATGTTTTCTCTTTGCGATATTTTCTCCGATGTTTTGTACCTCGAAGTTTTCCAGCTCTCTCATCCAGAAATAGGGAATAACAGTGCCTCCGAGAAGTACAATGGCGCCAAACTTCTCCGAGGTATCATACAGATAAGCACACAGATAAATACAAATTACGTTTTATCTATCCGGCTTTTAAACTGTCTTGTGCACGCTTTTAATTTGCATAAACTTCTCTAGGGAGCGAATATATATGTTGTGAAGTAAGGGAAGATCGGACAGTATTTACCGAAAGCTTAACTGCCACAAATATGTAAAAATAATTCTCACAATACGTAAGGTACCTTCTCCTTACTGCGTGCCTTCGTGGTGTAATTTGGAAGCACGTCCGGTTAGCAAATAAAATGTTCCGAGTTAATAAATGTCCCGGAGAGGGCACTGCCCATTTTTCATGTTGCCTGCTCCAAAATAAAATGCCTGATGGTCTATAAAATTATGTGCGTTAAAATAAAAATACTGCTTACCCTTTCAAAGTATAAAAAAAGGATCAACTTTTTTTTTTTTTTTTGGAGGGGGAATTCTATGCTATGACTCGAAAAATTTTGTAAACTGAAATATTTTGTCCCAAACTTGCAAATGTGACACTATCATTTATACATCAAGGTACGAAATGAAGAAATGATACTTTGAACCTTAGAGAACATCAATAGATTTCCGATTAGAAAGAAGTTAATTATATTTGTATAAATTACCTGTGCTTTATAACAAGTAATTTAATTTTCCACTTCCTACTGAAACACACAGAAGTTTTCTCTAATGTTATTACACTTTCGTGAATACCATTTCACACATAACGTTTAACCTTTCTTTCAGAAAAAGGTTAATATGATCCCAAATTTTATATGCAAAGTATTTTTCTTCATAAAAAATGAATTGCAATTATGATTGCAGATGTGACATTAAAATACTTTCTTTGTATAACTATATTTCATCTACCGAATTTCTTGACGGTTTTTCATGCTATTATCTGTTTTTGATGAAGGAATTATTCTCATTATATTGTTACGAATTTGGTATTTAAAAAGCTAATGTTAGTTCAATTATAAATTAAATGGTTTTATTTCTCTTGCAGTGCAGCGCTTGACGAATATTAAAAGAAAGCTAAGCCGGAAAATTGAAAATACAAGAGCGCGTGCATTAAATAAATAAATATCTCTTTTTGATTTCGAGAAAGTACTAGAAAATCTAGCGCGTGATTTATAAAATCTTATAAAAGGAGGAAAACATCTCAGTTCGTATTAGTTGTTTAGTTTGTTGTTGTTTAGAAAACTGCTCTTGTTGATTGTAGCGAATTCGCGGATTAGCTTTCTTTAGCTGCTTTGAATTACGTTCTATTGGACATTTGAGTAGTTAAAAGATAACTACTGCACGATTATTTGAGGACATTTAATCATATTTGTTGTGATAATAATAAATTTTTGTTCATTTTCATCGGACTTGTGCATTCATTTCGTAACGAACCCGTACGCACGCAACAATATATCATAAAAAGAAGCCTGTTATTAAATAAAATTCTAGGATAATCGCTATCTTTTCTAACCATAATTCAGTTAAAAACACGCAACAATTATCTCTTCAGTAATACGATATAAACAGGATCTGTAGAAACTGTTTAGCTCTGTGGAAATTATTTTGATTAATTCATAGATGGCGCTAGCGTTGCGTGTTAACGAGACGCGACGTGCCTTCTGAATTTCCATAGACTCTCCACCGGCAGTTCGATAGATGGATGTTGATACTTCGCACACTATTTGATTAGGAACACTTCGGTTCCTATTTGATTTCGATTTTCGATTATGAAAGCATATAGATTTATTTGTCAAACTGAACCACCATGTTTGATCTATGATCTGTAAATATTGTACATATTAAAAGTTACACTTTAAAAATGATTGATGTCGATTTATAGATCTTAGAATATTTTGAAACAGCTGGTGCATCGGCCGGGAAGAATTGGATTTAGCACGTTGCAAGTGTGCGAAGTCGGCAAAAAAGGTAAGGCTAAACTTTCTAATTTGTAGAGTAACTATGGCGGAAGAGTCTGTTGTTAAATTAAAATCGAAACGCAAAGTTATCAGGACCACCGTGTCCAAGATTCTAAAAAAAATCGAATCGGAGTTGAATAAAGAAGAAATTGATACAAGTACATTAGAAGAAAATTTAGATCAATTAATCACGAAATCAAAAGCTCTGAGTGAGTTAGATTCTCAGATAGAGCGTGACTTGAAATCAGAGGCAGAAGAGTTTGAAACAGAAATTCTATCTTGTATCGAATACGAAGAGAAAATTCAGTTATGGCAATTCAGAACAAATAAAAAATTGAAAGAATTGAATAAAGTAACAAATTCGGATAATGAAAACTCTCTTAACGAAACTAATTCTAAAATCGAAAGCAATAAATGTACGCGTCTGCCAAATTAACCATCGCTAAATTCTATGGAGATTACACCCCAGTGGACAAGTTTTTAGAACTCTTTCAAGGTAGCAATCCATGATAATGAATCTTTAACAAAGATCGAAAAATTTAATTATTTAAAATCGTACTTATGCGGCAACGCCGCAAACGCGATAGAAGGCTTTTGCATTTCGGAACCAAATTACGATGAAGTTGTCGAAATACTTAAAAACAGGTTTGGCAGAAAAGATATAATTATAAACTCACACATGCAAAAACTCCTGAATCTTACCCCAGTAACCAAATCCCAGTGACACTGTAAAACTTCGCAAACTTTGTGACACTATCGAAACTCAAATACGCAGCTTGAAATCATTAGAAGTCACACCGGATAAATACAGTTATATGTTGATTCCAGCCATAATGAAAACTCTGCCGTCTGATATAACCTTAGAATTCAATCGTAAAACGGATTCGTCATCCTTTTTAATGTTGACGAATTATTGCAATTTGTTGGTTTAGAATTGGAAAGTCGCGAGAGAAGCCATCTTTTGCTCTCCACTCATAAATCAGAAAGCACTTCCTGTGTTTATAAAGAGAAGGGTGGGAAGGGGAGTATCGTTCCATTCCACTTACCAGCTCTTGACGGCCGGTTAAAGAAAACAAAAATACTAATTGCTGTCTGTTTTGTAATACATCCAAACATGTTACTGAAGACTGTGAATCACTGACAGTTGATGAGAAGAGAAATTTATTACGTAAACATTCCCGATGTTACCTTTGCCTGAAATTAAACCACCGCCTAAAGCAATGTCGAAGCGATCTCGTCTGCTCCAAGTGCAAAGGTCGACATAACCGTTCAATATGCTTTCGCGCTGAGAAAGAACGAAATGAAAAAAATAAAAGTATAGAAGATTCGCATGTTCTTTCAGCATTCTCACGCAGCAAAATTAAAACTATTTCACTTCAAACTTGTTGCGTAACACTTCGAACAACTGCGCAGTCGGTTTTACTTAGAGCTCTACTGGATTCAGGTAGTATGCGTTCCTTCCTAAGAAAAGAAATCGCGGATAAATTGAAGCTTCCTGTTATTCGAACAGAGACTCTTTCGGTATTTACGTTTTGGAAATAAAACACCCATTAGAAAACATTTGACGTTGTTAAGATAAAATTACAGAACAAGGAAACACCGAATTTGAAAATCGAAATTGAAGCTCTCGTGACTGAACAAATTTCAAGTTCTGATTTACCACCTCCTAATCTGGATAGACACATTTTAGGCAAACAGTTAGAAGGTTTACAACTCGCAGATTCTTGGGATTGCAAAGAAAAAATTACTCTTTTGATAGGAGCTGATCATTATTATGATGTAGTAACTGGGGAACTTAAGCGTTTAGACAAACATTTAGTAGCTGCTGAAACGTTATTCGGTTGGTCTCTGCTAGGTTACACTAAAGGTACAACGTATAATTCCACAGCCTTTAATATCGTGGTTGAGGAAGATATAATATCTGATCAGATGAAGAAATTTTGGGAGCTTGAAAGTTTAGGAATTAAACCTGAAAATGAATTATCCGACCCATTAGACAATACCATAATGGAAAAATTCGAATCGGAAATTTTATACAGAAATTCTCGTTACAAGGTTAGGCTGCCATGGAAGTCTGATAGAAAATATGAGTTACATGACAATAAAGCGATTGCGCTGAAACGATTTGAGAAACTTGTAAAGCGATTTCAGAATAACTCTGAACTCTTTTATTCGTAT